ATGGCTGCCGCCCCGGCCTGGAGGCTGCTCCGCGGCCGGTTCAGGAGGACCTGGCGCCCACACAGCCAGGCCCGGCGCGCCGCCGGCCTCCCGTGGTGCCGGTACCGGCCGCGCGCGGAGCCGGCTCCGAGCAGGAGCCGCCGCGTGGAGCCCATCCCGCGCGGGAAGCGGCCCCGGGAAAAGGGGAACGGCCGGGGGCTGGACCCGAGGTGCGAGGGCAGCGCGGGCTGGGAGCGCAGGGAGGGCCGGGACAGGGAGGGGGCCCGGGGGACAGGGCCGGGCTGGGCAGGACGCGCTGCCCTCGTGGCGCCGGTGCCCCCGGCGTGGCCCGCGGGCTGGGGGGTCCCGGCCGGGGCTGGGGGGACGGGGACGGTCGCCCGGGGCTCCCCGCGTGCCCGCGGAGCTGCCCCGGGCCTGGCGTCCTCCCGCCCGCTCCCTGCTGCAGGCAGCGCCCGGCCCGCAAAGGGTTACGCAAAGCGCCCTGGAGTGACACCGCTGCCACCGGCCCTGGCGCTCCGCTCCTTCCTGGTGCGCTCCCGGCCCGGCTCGCCCGCGACTCGGTGAGTGACCGCCCCGCGCTCCCTTCGGGAGCAGGGACAGGGACCCTGCCCGGATTCCCCGAGGGAACCGGCCACGGTTCCTCCCTGCCGCCCAGTGTCTGCAGGGATGGGGTGGCCCAGGGACCCTCCTGTCCCCACTGGGGGGCTGTGAAGGACCGTGAGGCAGAGCCCCCCGGGCTGCTCCTGGCCCCCCAGCAGGGCAGGGCCCACTTGGGGTGACCTGGAGCAAACGGTGTGGCTGCCGGCCCCGCRCTGACCCTGGGGACCCGGGGCTGCCCAGGCGCCCGGCGCGGCAGGACGGGCCTCTGACCGGGCACGGCTGCGCCCGGATGGCTCCCACCTTCCCGCTGCCCTCGTCGGCACGCGGGGCCGGGGAGGCCGCGGTGGGTCTGGGGGGTGCAGCGGGATGGAGATGCTGGGGGGTCTCCGAGGAAGGGGGGCTGCACCTGGCGCGGTGGGACCCACACGGGGCACGAGCTGCCCAGCCTGGGGCGCGGGGACGGTGCCATGGGGCCGCTCACACCGCCGCCGAGCCCCGCTGGCCGCCCTGCCCCGTGAGGCAGCCCCGGAGGCGCCGGGCCCGGCGAGAGGGGCGGCCCCGGAGCTGCCTCCCGGCGGAATCCGGCCGAGCCGGCTCCTCCGGCTGCCGGCCTCGCCGGCGCCCTGGCCGCGCGCGGGGCGGCGGGAGCAGCGGGATGTTACGGGGGCAGCGGGAGCCGCGCGGGGCTCCGGGCCCGGCACGGGGGCTGAGCCGTCACCCTGGGGAGCATCGGGGGCTGCGCGGGGGGGGGGTCTGCCTGGCCGGGGGTGCCCCCAGGAGCCCCGAGTGGCGCCCGGCGCTGCCTGCTGTGCCCCGAACCCGACCCACCTCCACGAGGGCTCCCGAGCTCCCTGGCCCAGGCCAAAACCCGCTCCCGGAGCCCGGCTCCCTTCCCGGGAGCAGCGGGGCAGGCTCCGCATGAGCCAGGCTGCTTCCCAAATGGAACGGGCRCCTGGGAGCTTGCACCGCCTGGGGGCCCCGGGGCAGGGCAGGTGCCACGGGAGGTGGGGCCRGCCCGGGGGCGGGACGCCAGGTAGGGCCACCGCCGTCCCCGGGGAGGAAGGGAGGAAGCCCCGGGGCTGGCGCCGGACAAAGCGGCGGCCGCCCGGGCCCGTCCCCGCGTCCCCGCGCGACATGGCCGTGCGCTTCCAGGTGCGTCGCCACCCRCAGCCCCATGGACCCCTCGGGGCTTCGCTGCGTGCCGGGCTGCCCGCCCCGTGCGGCGGCGGCTGCAGGGTCCCGGGGACGCGGGAACCGCAGGACAAAGGGCCCTGGCGCACGGAGCCCGCACGGCCAGGCCAAAGGCCCCCCCTGTCCCCTCTGTGGCCGGTGTCATGGGGCGCCTGGGTCCCCCTGCACTTGCTTGGGTGGCTCGTGCTGGGTCTCAGGCTCACGCTGGAGCCCCTTTGCTTGGGGGTCATTGCAGCTTTGGGGGTCATTGCGCGCCGTGGTCGCTGTGGGTGGTGAGCGATGGTTGTGCCACCCAGTGCCGTCCTGCCCGTCCCGTCACCTCCCTGCAAGGGGAGGACCCGGAGGCGCCGCTGGCAGCGTGCAGAGCCTGCAGCCCGGCCCCTTTCCACGGCGCCTTCGTGGCTGTGCCGGGGTTCCCGCGACACATGCACGGATAAAACAGGACCCTGTCCGTGTCCCTGCTGCTTCGCCCTGTCCCGGGCTCTGTGGGATGCACGGAGCCCCTTCCCACTGCGGGGCCTCGGCGCGGCCGCCCGCGCGCGTTGAGCTCCTCCGTGCCCAGACAACCCTTGTGATAGAGGCCATAGAGCAGCAGCCGCCCTCGTCCCGCCCCGCGCGGGCTCCGCCGCGGCGCTCACGCGGGCGAGGTCTGTGCCCGAGGGCGGCCGTGGGCAGGGGATCTGCTGGGGACCCCTCATCCCGCCTCGCGTTTCCCCCCACCTGCCTCGATTGCCCCCGCAGGTTGCAGCCATGGAGGAGATGACGATCTGGGAGCAGCACACGGTGACGCTGAGCAAGGTGAGCGYGGCGGCGGGGCGGCCGCACGGCGCCGGCGCTCTCCCCAGATCCCGCTGCCCTCACACGTCTCTGCCCGCCCGCGCCAGGACCCCCAGCGGGGCTTCGGCTTCGCTGTCTCCGGAGGCCGGGACCGTCCCAGCAAGACGACGGGGGACACGGCCGTGTTCGTTTCGGATGTGGTGGCAGGGGGACCGGCGGCCGGGCGGCTCCAGTGAGTGCGCGGGGCCGCGGGGAGAGCTCCCCRCAACGGGGTGCAGCCAGGACAGCAAACCGCTCCCGTTGCGCCCCACGGTACAGTCGCGCTTTCCCTCGCAGGTTGAAAGACCACATCGTGATGGTGAACGGCCTTTCCATGGAGAACGTCRCCTCCTCTTTCGCTATCCAGACACTTAAGACCTGCGGCAAAGTCGCCAACATCGTGAGTGTGGCCGTGGCGGGACCGGGCATCGCTCGGGGCATCGCCTGCTCGCCCCCAYTCCGGCATGTCCGCGCTCGTCCCCYGTGTCCCAGGACATCTCGGGGGGCCTGACTGAGCAGCTCCACCGCTGGGCCGCGTTGGGCTGATGGGCGCTGTGGTTATTGGAGGAACAGCCCCCAGGCGGGGGGTTTTGCACCTGCAGAGAGGAGAATCTTGCAGGGCGGGAAGCCCCCTCCCCGCTCTGGCCGTGGCCCCTCGCCCTTGGAGCACGGCGGGGTCCGCGGCCGCGCCCATGGACAGGGGCTACGTGAGCCCAGGGCTGGACCCCTCCTGGGCTGCTTTGCGCATCCCTGTGCCCACCTTTGGCCCTGATTCCCATCGTGGGCATGGAAGACGCTGCAGAAGTGTCTACCGGTGCAGGCAGCTTTGCTCACCCTGCTCCCTTCCCACCCTGCTCCCTTCCCACCCTGCTCCCTTCCCACCCTGCTCCCTTCCCATCCTGCTCCCTTCCCACCCTGCTCCCTTCCCACCCGCAGACACTCAAGAGGCCCAGGAAGGTTCAGCTGCCCGTGAGCAGGAGCAGCGAGGCCCCGCAGGGCAGCTCGGACGAGGAGCACGACGAGGACCACGGCGCCGGGGTGGCCCCGCGCGCCTCCCGGGATGACCTGCGCCACAGCCAGGGCTATGACGGGGACTCCTCCAGCGAGAGGAGCTCCGGGAACCACCGGCACGACCGGCGCCCCCAGAAAGCCACGTCGCGGAGCCGGCAGCGAGGCCAGGACGGCAGCCATTGGAGGCAGAGCCCGGACAGCGGCTCCGAGCGTGGGGGCTCCCGCCGGCACCGCTCCACGAATGGCATCGGCCACGACGGGGACACCAACGGGCTGGCCCTGGTGTCCGGCTTCAAGCGGCTGCCGCACCGGGARGTGCTCACGAAGCCCGTCACGTCGGTGCTGGTGAAGCGGAGGCAGAGCGAGGGTAGGGCCTTCCCTTTGCCCCTGTCACCCGCGTCGTGGCCCCTGTGTCCCCGGGGAKGGGGTGGTGGCTGCAGAGAGGGGACAGTGCAGGGTGCCGCGTGCACTGAGCCCGCCAGGCCTCAGCCCAGAGCTCAGCTCTGGGGCCGCCTACGCCTCGGCAGGCGCTGCCGTGGGGCTGGTGGCCAGAGGCGCGTCCGCCCAGCTCCGTCACCGTCTCTCTCTGCCGCAGAGTACGGCCTGAAGCTGGGCAGCCAGCTCTTCATCAAGCGCATCGCCGAGAACGGGCTGGCGGCCGAGCGGGGCTGCCTGCGCGAGGGAGAYCTCATCCTGAAGGTACCGGCGCGCGCGGGGCATCCGCCTCCCKGCCCAGCTGCCCCCGCTGGCATCGCCCCGGAGCCGCCGGGCAGAGCAGCGAGCGCTCACGGAGGGAAGAGCCAAAGGGCTGTTTGCCTCAGCTGGGCTGCCAGCTTGCCTGGAGAAACCCCCATCTGGTGCCCGCGTCCTGCCCTCTCCCACCAGTGCCGCAGGGCCCAGCCACCATCCACGGCCGCGCGGGGACCCTTGGGGACCGGCTCCCCGCACAGCCCAGGCCGGCTGGTTAAGGCAGCCCGTGGCGCTCGCCTGGGGCTGCTGCTCGTCCCGCTGCCCCTGCCCCGCGGGCCCCCAGCACATGGGGTCTCCTTGCGGCGAGCGAGTGTCCCCCCGGGGCAGCAGCTGACGAGAGCAGCTCAGATGTTCAGGRTATGTCAGGCCTGTGATGAGCTGAAAGGTATTTGGGGAGGGTAAAACAGAGGCTGCAGATATTTAGCTTGCATGGACGGGCCCGGCGGCCCCATGGCCATGTGGGAACGGGACCAAACGGGTTCAGGGGCCATCGGGGGTTCACTGTGGCCCAGCCCAGCCGGCAGAACCTTGCGGCAGCCTGGGGAGACCAGGACCCCACCGCACACATGGGCCTGCTTCTCACTGGCACTAGTTCAGTGCATTGGGAAAACAGCGCTGAGCAAAGGTTAAAGTAAAACTGAGCTTAAAATAGCATCTGAGCAGGGCCCTGCGGCTGCTGTCCCCGCGTGGTGCCATCTGGATTCAGTGGCCTTGCTCACTTGGTTTCTGTTTGCGCACGGATGAGGCCTCGCGGGGACGCGGCCGGGAATGGGGACGCAGATCCCACACGCAGAGCAGGGGGAGCGGGAGGCAGGAGGCAGAGACGGGACCTGCGAGGTTGTGGTTGGCGGTCTCCCCGCAGTAGTTCCCGGATGAGCAGAGTTATTCCCCAAGGACAGTTTCCCCATGACCCCCCGTGTCCCCCACTTCCCTCCGCAGATCAACGGGGTGGCCAGTGAGAACATGTCCCTGGCTGATACCCAGCAACTCATTGAGCGCACGGAGGGGATCCTAACCCTGCTTGTCCTCCGGGACGACCGGCAGTTCCTGGTCAACATTCCCGACCTGGCAGACACCCACAGCAGCAGCTCCCACATGGATGGTAAGAGCACACGGTGCTGAGGCCTGGAGGCCAACACACGGCACAGAGGACTAACGTGTCTCGTCACCGCAGACATCTCTGACATCGGCTCTGAACTGTCCCATCCACCATCCCCTGTGAGCTCCCCACCACCTGCAGCTGCCGCCAGGATGAATTCACCGCGGTAAGTTGCTCTGTGTCCTGCCCCTCTCCTTCCCCATGCACTTAGCTTGTCCCTATCCATCACCAATCCCCTCGTGTTTCCCGCCAGCCTGGAGGGAACGCTTCCCCAGGGTTCTCCACGCTGCTGGTGGCCGGAGCTGGCTAAATCTGGAAGTGGGACTGCTTTTTGGTGCCCAGCAGTAGCTGGAGCTGCTGGAGCACCACCTTGCCCTGCTGTTCCCTCTCTTGGTGCTGCAGGCGCAGCCTGTCCGTGCTGAGCCACTGCCTGTGGTCTAACTAACGCTGTCCTGACTTTGTTCCAGAGAAAGGCGATGGACAAAAAGGGATCCTGTGGCTGACACGAACGCGGATGATGCTCCAGACCCTCGTAAGGGAGCTCTGATGGAGCTGCGTGGAGCTGAGGGTCCCCTCTCTCCAGATACACCCAGCAGGGCTGTGTGGGTCTCTGCCCGGTGAGTGGCACAGCCACCTCCTGAGACCAACCCCGTCTCACCACAGACTTGCTGGACGCTGTGGAGGAGGACGGTCCCCAGGGCCACTACGCCAGCCCCGCCGCCCGAGCTGCCAGCGGGGAAGGGTAACGTCCCCGCAAGGGGTGCTGGGGACAGGCTGGGCTCGCGGAGCTGTGGTCACCGTCTCGCTGCTGGGCTGAGCACGGCCTTCCCGCTCGCAGGTACAGCCCCGACACCAGGCTCGTGAGCTTCGTGAAGGCCAAGAGCATCGGGCTGCGGCTGGCTGGTGGCAACGACGTGGGCATCTTTGTGTCGGGCGTGCAGGAGGGCAGCCCCGCGGACAGCCAGGGCGTCCAGGAAGGGGACCAGATCCTGCAGGTACCCGCGGCAGGGCCACGCGGCGGCAGTTCCCCGTCCTGCCCCGCTGTGAGGGGTCCCCGGGCGCTGCCGTGCTGAGGCTGCCGCCGCCCGTGCCGCTCTGTGACCGCTCTCCTTCGCGGCAGGTGAACGACACGCGTTTCCAGAACCTGACGCGCGAGGAGGCTGTGCAGTACCTCCTGAGCCTGCCCCCGGGCGAGGAGGTCACGCTGCGAACCCAGAGGAAGCAGGACAGTGAGTGACCGAGCTGTGACTCTCAGTCCATCTCTCCCAAGGAAGCATCAGACCTGCTAAATTCCCCTTCCTTGCAACACGGTGCTTCTTCCCTATACCTTCCTCTTCCTTCTCCTGAGAGGTGATGGGAGGGGACCAGACCATCCCAGGGCTGGTTATGCTTTGAGTCCTGGAGCACGGGGCTTTGTGGCACCCCCAGCTCAGCCTGGAGCCGCCCGTCTGTGCTGGGGAGGTGGGTTGGGTTCTGCTGCTTCCAGCAAGGCTGGGAGGAAGAGGAGCCTCCAGTACCCTCCTTGTGGTGAGGGCTGCTCTGGAGGCTCATGGCCAGCTCAGCTTCTACCCAAATCCTTCCAGCACCCCCAAATTCCTTCCCAACCACCTCTTTTCCTAATGGTTTCTCCCATCTTGGCCTCCAGTTTACAGGAAGATGATCTCCTCCAACGTGGGTGACTCGTTCTACATCCGGACACACTTTGACTTCGAGAAGGACACTCCATCAGGGCTCAGCTTCGTGCGCGGCGATGTCTTCCACGTGCTGGACACCATGTACCGTGGCAAGCTGGGCAGCTGGCTGGCTGTGCGCATGGGCAGGGACCTGCAGGAGCTGGACAAGGGCATCATCCCCAACCAGAGCAGGTAGGGTGGGAGCCGGGAGCAGAGGCAGCGAGCGGCTCCTCAGGGATGGGCAGGGACACATTGATGGTCCCACTAAGGTGCAGGGCAAAGGCTGGTGGCGCTGCAGCTGGAAGCTTGAGCTGGTGAAATCCCTTCTTGGTGCTCAGCGGGAGACAGGGAAGTTCTGCTGCCCTGCTCCCCGGGGAGAAATGCAGCAGGGAGAAACCCTGCCCTGGTCCTGAGCCCTCTCCCATCCCAGGGCCGAGCAGATTGCCAGCCTGGAATCCGTGCTGAAAGCCACGTCTGGTGCCAATCCCTCCGGAGCACGCGCTGAGTTTTGGAGGCTGCGGGGTCTGCGAGGAGCCAAGAAGATGCTGCAGAAGAGCCGGGAGGACCTGTCTGCCCTCACAAAGCAGGGCCGCTACCCGCCCTATGAGAGGGTGGTCATGAAGGAAGGTGGGTGCTGCTCGAGGCACCAGCACCTCTGTCCTCGTCTTCCCGTGCTGTGAGCGACCTCAGTCCCACGGGCACCTCGGGGTGGAGGCTCGGCCGTCTGCGGGGTGCCAGCTCTGCCCTGGCCCCCGGCCTCCCCCAGGCAGTCTCTTCTCTCCACAGCCAGTTTCAAGCGGCCCGTGGTGATTCTGGGCCCCATCACAGACATTGCCATGCAGAAGCTGAKCACGGAGTCCCCGCAGCTATTTGAGATTGCTCGTAAGTGCCCCCCGCCATGGGGCGACGCCTCCCCAGAGGCTGCAACCCCCATGTCCAGGCCTGCAGGTGCCTCTTGACCCAGTGCCCTGTCCCAGTCTTTCCTCAGCATCTCCCCAGAACCCTCCTCCTTGTTCTCCCTCTCCCTTCTCCTGCTGCATATCCTTGGGCCTGGGCACGGCCACATCCACCCCAGGGCCATCGGGATGTCACATCTGCTGCAGCCCCCCATTCCCCATCTCCTTACCCCACAGCGAGCGTGCCCCGCAACGGGGCATCGTCCAAGGTCATCAAGCTGGACTCGGTGCGGCTGATTGCGGAAAAGGTGAGAGCCTGGGGGCCCCTCGCTGTGTTGGGGAGCCCCACGGGCCTTGGGGGGTCCCCTGGGGATCCGCTGCCTCTGTCCCTGCTCACGGTGGGGCTGCTGCTCTGCCCTCAGGACAAGCACGCGCTGCTGGACATCACGCCGTCGGCCGTGGAGCGCCTCAATTACGTGCAGTATTACCCCGTGGTGGTGTTCTGCGAGCCCGAGAGYCGCCAGGGCATCAAGGCCATGCGCCAGTGGCTGGCGCCCGACTCCAAGAAGAGCTCGCGGCGCCTCTACGCGCAGGCCAGCAGGATGAGGAAGCACTGCAGCCACCTCTTCACCGCCACCATCGCCCTCCRCGGCAGCGGCAACGCCTGGTACCAGGAGCTCAAGGACATCATCAAGACGCAGCAGAACCAGCCCATATGGACGGCGGAGGAGCAGGTATGTGGACGTGGGGACGCTGGGGCCAGGCTCAGCCTTGCAGTTGCAGGCTGGGGAGCCTGGGGGGCAGCTCTGTCCCCGCGGTGCCCAAGGGTCCCCCCTTCTGCTTGTCCCCCCACTGCAGGTGGACGTGGGGGCGGAGGAGAGCCTGGACATGCTGAACGCGGCGAGTGCAGCCACCTCCGGCTACCTGACCTGCGACAGCCGCCCCACCAGCGACTAYGACGACACGGACGGCGAGACAGGGCCCTACACTGATGGCGAGGCAGAGGATGACTACGACCAGCCAGCGCTAGCCCGCTCCTCCGAGCCAGCAGAGCCCTTCCAAGGAAACATCCTGATGGAGGAGGCGCATCTCCCTGCACCGGTACGAGGTGCYGGGGAGGGACAGAGGTGGCCCTGAGCTCTGCTATGGAGGCAGTCTCTATCCCGCAGGGCACAGACGGGAGCAGGGCCATCCTTGCCCAGCGCTGATGCCTCTCCAGCGCTCAGCTCCACCACCTCTAACCCCAGTCTCTCCTCTCTTCAGCAGCTGATGGAGCAGCAGCCACAGGGTATACGGAGACAGCACTAYGACAGCATCAGGTACGCTGTGTGCCAGGGGCGCCTGGGGAGTTAATGTTGTGCCCTCCTGCCCCTGCAGCATCCCTGGTGGCACCTGGGAAGCAGGCACTGCTGGGCCTGGCACCGTCCTGCCCCAAAGTGTGCACCTGGGGCCGGGGAGCTGTTGGGTCCTGCTCTGCCTGGCCCGGCCTGCGCTGCGGAGCCTGGCACTGCCCCCATCCCGCTCGGGCTGCACTGGCGTCAGGGGAGTTTCTGACCCCCACAGGGAATACGAGCGTGATGCCGTCAGGAAGAGGTTCACGCGGGCCCGGGACGACTCGGACCAGGACGACGGCTACGAGTGGGGCCCAGCTACAGACGTGTAGCAGGGCAGGCCAAGCGCCTCCGTGCAACCTCCGACGGGCCCCGGGCAGCCCCGYGCCAGCCGGGGGAGCCTGTTCGAGTGACAACGCAGGTGGTGTCACCCGTCCTGCGGCAACCAGGCTGGGCCAGGCCCCGTCCTGCTGCACCGGTAACCACCAGCACCTCCAAGTGCCTCTGTCCCCTCGCAGCTCCGGCGCTGCCTCCGCTGCTGCAATAAAGGGGACGTTTCCAGCAGCACAGGCTCCTTCCTTGGGTGCTGGGTGGCAGCGGGCAGGGCGCTGGGCGCCGGGGCTGGCGGAGCAGGGGGCTGCACTCTCAGCTCTCTCCCGCTCCTCCCTGCCTCTGCCTGGCCCACAAACGCAGCCACCAGCAGCTCCCCACACTTTTATTTTTACAGGGACCAAGCACCCAGGCAAAGGGGTGGCACTGCTCCGGCCAACACGGGGCCAGGGAAACACCCGGGGAAGAGGTGGCCTTGGAGGGGAGGTGGGGGGGACTCATGTCACCCCCCAAGACCAAAGCAGCCCCCCTTCCCTTTCGCTGTGCGGCAGGCCCACCAGCTGTGGCAYGGGGGGCACTGGGCTAAGTGCAGGGCACTTAGAGGCACTGCCAGGCAGAGGTAGTTTCCCAGCTCAGTAAGACAGGTCTAGCGGGGAGGGGACGCCGAGGCCGAGGGCCCCGCTCCGCGTAAGGCTGAGGGTGAGAGGTGCCAGCTGGCCCTGGGGGTGCCCGTGTGCAGCACCGGGCCAGGATGAGCCCGGGAGCTGGACTTGAACACCGTCCCTTACCGGGAAAGGCATCACTGGTGACAGAGAAGCACAGTGGGGGCGAGGGGCGGGTAGTGTTTCCTGCACGTGCAGCTGCAAGGAGAGGCAAAGGCAGGCGGAGGAGAAGGGACACGGCCCAAACCCCGCGCGGGCATCGGGCCCACGGAGCCTCCCCCCAGTCCTGAGTTCAAGAGAAGAGGGGCAGGATTTGGGCCTGCTGGGGGACGGCCCCGCGCTGCTGCCCTGCGCCCCGCGCTCCCTCGGGGCACCCCGGCAGCGGCTCACAGGAACAGGGGCTGCTCCTGCCCCGTCAGCAGGCGGTACGTGGAGGCTGGCATCGTCTTGATGTGCACCTAGGGCAGAGGCACYAAGTCAGCCCCGCGCACCACCCGCTGCGTCAGGGGCCGGCAGCGCCGGGACGTCTCTCGCCATAAAGCAGGTTTTGCAGACAGGCTGATCCAGCCCAAATATCCCCATGCTGGCAACATGGATGCTCCAGGTGTCCCTGGATGCCGTGAGGGCAGTTGCAGGGAGCACAGGGGATGCAGGAGCCCCAGCTGCCCCCCGGCCTGGGCCCTGCTCACCTCGCTGACGGCCTCTGTGAGGATCTGGATGATCTTCTCGTGCGGCGTTGCCACCACGCTCTGCCCGTTGATCTCGATGATGCGGTGCCCCACGCGGATGCCACCTTTTTCCGCGATGCCGCCACGCATCAGGCTGCAGATCTGGAGAGCAGGGCGAGGTGTTGAGAGCCCAGCGAGCGCTCAGCCAGCGCGGGAGCCCTGGCACYCAGGCAGGCTCGTCGCAAGAGCTCTGGGCACAAGGGCACCTCTCCAGCCCAAGGGTGCTCAGCAACAGCAGGGAAGCCCCCAGCCCACACCCAGCTCCYCTTACCCCCAAGTCTAACCCTTGAGACCGCAGCGGGTCCCACACATCTTTGGAGCAAMAGGACCTTTCCTGTGGTAGAGCTGGCACCAATGGGTGCCCCATGCAGCGGCGTCTCCCGCTCCCACCCACCGCCTGCTCCACTGATCCTCAGAACCTCCTTCCCGTCTTKCCTGGGCTTGTCCTGAGGAGTCACTGTGGAGCCCAGAGCAGGGAGTGGTGYTGGGACAGTGACAAACATCACCAACGACGCCCAAACACAACAAAATCACCACCCCCAAGSCAAACAGCTAAGCAGGCCCGGGGAGATAAAGGTGACTGTGGGAGAGCTGAGGGCCCTATGCCAGGGCCCGGCGCGGTGCCAGGATGGCAGAGCGGGGAGCACCGGAGCGGCCGGCTCGGCCGCGCAGCACGAGCCAGGACCGCGTGTCCCGCTGCCACGCGGCCGCCAGAGCCCTTGGCCAACGCTGCACCGCCGCGCGCTGCCTGCGCCGCGCGCTCACCACGCCATTCTCCACGCAGAAGCCCAGCTGGTACTTGGAGTCGGGACGCCGGATAACGGCTGTAGTGACAGGGGGACAGTGCACTATGTTCAGGGTCACCTCCGTCCGGTGCTTCAGCTCCTGGGAGAGAAGAAGGACGAGCGTGAGAGCCTGGGGAGCCTTCGGGAGGCTGCAGGGGGGTGACACGGTGACGTTGCTCACAGGAGGGTGGGCTGACGGCCTGGGCTCACCCGGATGATGCCCTGGCAGGTGGCGAGGGGCAGCCCCACCAGGCTTGTCCCGTTGACGGACATGAGGCGGTCCCCGATGCTCAGCTCGCCCGACTTCTCCGCRGGACCCCCGTGCATGAGGTTGGCGATGACCACGGTGGGCACGATGGAGCCCCAGCCCGACTCCACGATGGCAATGCCCAAGATCTCCCCCTTTTGCTTCCGGATACAGACCTGGCAGGACAGGGCACAGGCACCAGCATGAGGAGCCTGGGTCTTGGCCATCTGTCCCGGCTCCCACATGGGGATCCTGTGCTCCACACCRGCCAGGACTGGGAACCTGGCTACTCAATCAGCAGCGATCGCAGTCACTCAAAGAGCCACGGTGGGAGACAGGGAGGTCCCGGCGGGCACTGCCCTGCTGCCCATGCCATCCCCACCCCTCCCAAGCTGCTCTTACATCCTTGCAGTTCTCCTGCCTGGAGAAGTGGGTGAGCTCCGCGTTGTAGTGCTCCTGGTCCTCCAGGGCACGGCTGTACTGCCGAGGGCTCAGCTCGCTCGGGTTGATGCTGTTGGCCTCCAGGAAGCGCTGGTASGCGACACCAAAGGCCTGCCCGATGGCCTGCGCGATGACCTGCGCCTGCCCAGGAGAAGGTGTTTGTGCCAACGGCTCCGGACCACGGAGCCACRGCCAAACTCAACGCAGAAGCTGCTGGCTGGATGGAAAAGTTTGGGAACTCCCAAGGCCCCCTAGCTCCCTCCCTGCTTGGCTGGGCCTCTCCACGCACAGATGTCCCTTCTCCCGTTGAGCCTCTATGTGGGCACGGTGCCTGGGAGGGCACCTTCCCCTTCCTCGCGCCCATGCCCTGGCTGCAGCGTTGGCACAGGGCAGCCCAACGCCTCCGCAGGGCACCCYGCTAGGACACTGCTATAGCAGAGGGGGACCCCAACGCCACCGCCCCTCCCAAGGGCTCAAGCGCGGCCTCACGTCAGCCGAGTGGAAGACGTGGCAGATCATCTTGTAGAGCCGCTTCTCCTCCGCCGCCTCCGCTCGCCGGGGCAGCTTCCGCCGCGCCATGAGCACCACGAGGGAGCCGATGTCGGCGATGTAGGAGATGGTCTGCAGGGAGTGATCCATCATGGCCTCCTGGCAAGGGGGACACGCACGGAACGATGTCCAACTTGAGGGGCATCACGGGCAGCCCGGGAGCCAGCCAGACACCCCGCAARCGGGAGGGTTTCTGTTCAGTCTGATTGTAATTCTGGCTGCACCAGCACACGACCCACATGTGGAGCACACTCCTGGGAGAAACCAGGTCTGTGTTAAGACACAAGCAGCTCCTTCAACTGACGGCTCATCTACATCTCTACCAAGGGACAAGAGAGCCTCTACATCCTACTGTAAAGAAGAAATTAATTCTGCAGAGACAAACCTGTAGAAATGCTAAGCTTAGCTCGCCCTGAGCTGGGCCTGGCAGCCCAGCTGTGCCTGCAAGGTCCAGCTTGAACGAAAAGCCCCACGCAGCCCCATGAGGACAGCCAAAGGACGCAGAGAACGGCTGCACGGGAGGCCTGCAGTGACACACGCGCTCCTGGCACCCTGCCCTTGCCCACGGGSCATGACCCCACCTGCGTGGGCCCCACGGGTACCAAGATGAAGTTCCCAGGCCCGCAGAGAGGTCTCAGCAGCCCCCGAGCAAGGCGGCTGCCCTTGTTCCCGCTCACCTGCGTGTCRGCCGTGAGCACCTTGATCCTCTGCGTGGAGACAAACAAGTCCACTCCCGTCATGGGCTGGGACTCCCCGTCGGGTGCCTGCGGGGAAAGGCGCCCAGGCCAAGGTTACTGCAGCTGCAGGGCTCTGGGCTCCCGCTCTGCTTCTGCTGGGAGCTGGGGCAGGTCCTCGCTGCAGCGCCAGGCCTGAACGCTGCCCAGTGCCCACAAGAGGCCAAGCTGTGACCATGGCCCCCGCCATCCRCACCTTGATCCTGTCCACGGCCTCTTGGGCCTGTGCCATGCGGACGCTTGTGGGGGGGTTTCTCTCTGACACGAGCTGCGTGGAGCCCAGATACTTTGCCCCGAAGATCACACCGTCCAGGAGATCCTCTGGGTCGCAGGGGCCTGGGACTGAAGCACCAGGTGAGATTAAGCAGTGGAAAATGCCCTCAGGGCACCCTCAGATCCCTTCCATACACCCCACAAAGGGGGAGTGGGGTTTGACCCAGCCCTTGGAGGTGGCAGCCCCTCCTGTGCCCCAWGGCAGTAGCTCCTCTGCCCCTAGAGAAGCCCCTTTTCCAGCCGGGCTGCAGAGCCGGGTGCTCCCTCCCTGATGGGGACCCTGGATACCAGCCGTGCCCCAAGACTAATGGTCRGAGCAGGAGCTGGAGGGGCCATAACTTCTATTTCTGTTTCCTATTCCTGCAGGGAAGCAACTCACCATCTTTGAAGGCTGGATAGGAGAAGCCAGATTCCTTATTCTGCAAAGCAAGAGGAGGGTGGGTGAGAGCCTGGAGGAGAGCCTGGGCATTTGGGTGGAGATGCCAAGCCCTGGCACCGCTGTGACCACACTCCAGAGCCACGCAGGGACCAGGGCCTGCTCTGTTTCCCAGAGGATACAAAGATCACATAGGAACGCGAGCGTGTCCAGCACCCTCGGAGCATCCAGACCCTGCAGCCAGTACCGGGGGTCCCCTAGCCGCCCCCTCCAGTGGCACAAGGCCCAGGGAGACCCTTGCTGCCCTGTGCCCCACGCAGAGCCTGGGGACACGTTCCAGCTGGCTGCCCCGCCACGCGCCTGCACTCACGGATGGGCTGCCGTGGGGCAGCCGCTCTGCCTCCCGTGCAGGGGCCGGGGCTGCCCCCGCGGGCTCCAGGGAGCCGTCCTGGTYGTCCTCGCAGGCAGTGCCGGCCTCGCAGGGCCCCTCTCCGCAGCAGCAGTCCCCAGGACACCCCTCGTCCGAGCTCCCCGGCCCGCCCAGCGCTTCAGGCGCATCCAGAGCAGCCGGTTCCTCCCGAGCCCACAGCATCTCCAGGCTGGTGCCGGCCAGGAGGTCGGAGCGCGCCAGGGGCGTCTCGGCAGGGGCCTCRGGCAGCACCCCGTCCCCGCGCAGGAGGCCCAGCAGGTCCTCCCGGTCGGCCTCGGCAAAGAGCAGCCCGTGAGAGGGCCGGGAGCAGGCGGAGGAGCAGGCGGGGCGGCGGGCGCAGCAGGGCCGCGGCTCCAGGCCCCTGCCYGTGGCCACGTGCAGCGGGCAGGGCCGGCACTCGCCACGGCAGGACCGGCGGCCCCGCGCGCTCCGCGCTCCCCGCTCCGAGGCGGCGCTCCCAGCTCCGGGCACGGCGAGGTGGCGCAGCCGGGCCAGCAGGCCCTGCATCTCCGACGGCTCGTCCTCCACGTGCTCCTCATCTGAGAGCTCATCCTCCACATCCAAGGGCTCATCCTCCACGTGCTCCTCATCCGAGGGCTCATCCTCCGCACGCGCCTCATCCGAGAGCTTGTCCTCCGCGTGCTCCTCATCCAGCTCCATGGCTCCCAGGCTGCGGGGCGGCCTCGTGTGCTGCGGGGGGCTCCCTGTGCGCGGCGTCCAGCCGGCCTCCTCCGCGTCTCCTCCCGCATCCCAAGGAGGCTCCGCTCGCGCGTTGCCCGCGGGGGCTGGCGGCGGCGCCGGGTCCCTCTGCTCGGTGCTGGGCAGAGGCCAGTCCCGCGCGGGGCTGCCGGGGGGTCGGTGCRGCCGTGGGACAGCGGGTCCCGCCGCGGGCCTCTCCTGCTCCGTGTCCGTGTCCATGGTGCCGTCGCTGCCGGCACCGGGGGCGGCCGGGGCGGCCTCCTGCACGTCCATGGCGCTCTCCATGGCTGGGGGCCGCGCTGCCCTGCGGGGAGAGG